TTTTTGTTTTAAACGTCGAATTTCACATGAGCGAAATCGAACGCATAAATCATTTTAACTACTAGATGTTTACAAGTTCATGCACGAATCAGAAGACGCGATTCAGAAAGCAAAATGGCAGAATTGGCAGGAAACGCCAGCGTCACTGAGTGTATTTGCCATGCATGACATGCGCTGTACTACTTATCAGTCACTGAAAGAAGAAGGCGACATTTTGTTCCCAGTTTCGTTGCATCAGCGAAAGCAACAAATGGAGAAAAATCCTTAGAATGAACCGCCTTTTTCTGCGGTGAGTGGCGTCTTTGTTTCGTGCAGAGGATATTTACACTCGAGCTCATTCTTCATGGTGATTCTCGTTGACCGCCATGGTGGATTTTACTGATGGACCTCGAGCCATCTTATTCGGCACAATATAATTAAATTCTAACTTTGAAACAAAATGTTGAACTTTTTAGTTCGAGTGGACTCGAATCATTTTATGTATTAGATTCGACACATGTCAAGTGTGACGTTTGAACTTACTGGGTCCAACATGATTATCAAAGGGGTTAGAAGATGGCGATTTATCTTGAAATCCAAGTAGTTATGCATATAGTTATTGTTTTTCGACTGAAGAATGGCACGATATGCTTCACGCAAACTTTTTTGGGCAAAAATGCTGTTAAACTTGGACCGCTCGAGTTAACTTTGCCTTCTTGTAGGCTGCGTGTAGAACGTAAGCGACATAAGCCAGGTTAAGAGTTAAGATCTAAATGAACGGAAATAATAACCTTATCGTCACGTAGCTATAGCAACACTGATGTTATTCAAAGCTTTGGATTTGAAACTTTTAATTAATCTCCAGTACTGTATGAAGTACCTTGTTCGACTGCCTGAATTCATGGCTCGTTGAATTATTTGTGTCTGTAGACAGGCGGGCATGTATATGAAGCCACATGCCTTCCTGTTGATTTTGAATTTGACGCTTATTGTGAACAAAGAATTTTTGATCGACTCAGGGGTTCGAGCCGAATAA